TGCAGATCTCCTTGTAAAAATGTATTGTAAACATCCATTTGATGGATAGCCCGCTGAAAAATAGAAGCCACAACAAGAACAATCCTTACAGTAACCAATTTAGTAGCTGAAGAAAAAGTGGCAACAAAGTCTATCCCTTCCTTTTGATTGTAACCCTTAGTTACAAGCCTAGCTTTTTACCTTTCAATGGTACCATCTGATTTATACCTAATCTTATCAGCCACTTGCAACCAATATAAGTCTTCCTCATGGGCAAAGAAACCACATATCAAGTGTTATTCAATTGTAAGGCTTGTATCTCATCCTGAATAGCTTGAATCCAAAAAGGACTTTTGACAACCTCATGAAAGGTTTTAGGTTCGGGCAAAGAAGAAATGGAAGAAAGAAAGGCTTAAGTATGAGATGGAAAATGAGAATAAGAAAGAGAATGAGAAATCGGGTACTTGCTTGAAATAAAGGAGGATTGGTAAGATTGCACATAATCATGAAGCCAATTTGATGGTTTAAACACTTTAGTAGATTTTCTAAGACCGTCATTAACAATAACAGGCTAATCTACAATAGGTGTATTTGTTGAAATGAAATCTGGACTTAAAGGAACAATAGGTAAGGGTGAAGCAAAATCTGAAGTATTAGTATCCAAATATGAAGTTGTAGGAGAGGATGAAAGAACCAAGAAAATCAAAGTTTGAAATAGAAGATGAAGGAGGAAAGAAACAAGAATTTTCTGGAAGTGGTAAGTGAAAAGGGAAAACAGTTTCATGAAACTTGACATCCCTACTGATAAAAAAATGCTTATCTTCTAAGTTGAACAAGAGATAACCCTTTTTAGTATAAGAATATCCAATGAATACTGCAGCAATTGTCCTAGGTGAAAATTTGTCTGTAGCCTGAACCCTTGTAGTATAACACAAACACCCAAAGACTCTTAAATGAGACGGATCAAGAGACTTATGAAACAAAACTTCAAAAGGAGATTTCCAATGCAAAACAGAAGAGATAAGACAATTAATAAGATAACAGGCTGTCTGAACACACTCTCCCTGAAATTTAATAGGAAGCTGATGTTTCTTCTTTCGTTTAGCCACTCCATTCTATTGAGGAGTACAAACACAAGAGCTTTGATGGATAATACAAAGAGAAGCAAACAATGGTGAACAGTAAGAATTCAAGAATTCTTAGCCATTATCACTTCTAATAATTTTGACCATGGTTTAAAACTGATTTCGAATATAAGAAAAGAATTCTTTAAGGAAGATTATAACATCACTTTTCAATCTCAGCAAATACACCCAACACATACGAGTATGATCATCAACTATGGTTAAAAAGGATCGATGGCCACTATGTGTGGATATCCTCTAGGGTCCCCATAAATCTATATGAATCAAGTGAACATGCAGATCACTCCTAGTAATACTAAGAGGGAAAGGCAAGCGAGACTGTTTGGCCAAATGACACACAAGACAATTACTCAAACAATCATTATGCAATTTAACATACTATAAGGAATGCAATTTAAATCTGCAATGGGAGCATACCCAAGACGATCATGTCAAAGTTTTGTGTTATTATCAATAGTGGAAACAAACATGACATAATGATCAACAACATCAAGAAAAACAAACTTGACAATAAAAGTAGAGAACTCAAGATTACATTGAAAAAAGAAATCAAACCAAAATCAAAGCTAGAAGTATCAAAGTAATACAACCCCTGTGACTCTTTACCAATCCCCCTTGTCCTTCCATGAGATTTCTCGTAGAATACAATAATGAGGATAAAAAAACAACATATCGGTTAAGATCAATGGTTAACTTTGAGACTGAAAGAAGGTTATGAGTAAAATGAGAAACATGGAGAATGTTTGTGATAAAGTTATGAGAATTAAAATCATAAGAACCAAAATAGGTAATAGGGGTGATCCGACAATTTGGCAAATGAACCATTCTAGACTTTGAAGCACATAAAACAGGAGACACTAAGTTCTTAAAATCAAATAACATATGGTCTGTAGCTCTTGTGTCCAAAATCCATACAATCAAATCATAAGAAGTTGGTAAACATCGAGTAACCATACATGCAAAACTGATATTTGCCTCAACCAGTGGTGTTTTGTGCAAAAGACTCAAAAGCTGTTGATACTGCTCATGAGTAAAAACCAGAGCAGTTGATTGATTACTGGAATTAAGGGATTCAGGAGTTGAAGTGGAACCTTTCACCACCATTGCAGCATGAGAATCTTTTTTTTTGGTGAACTTAAAATCGGGGGAGGGGGAGGAAGCCAACCAGGCAATAATAGTTCTCCTTTTTGTGACCACGAATCTTACAATGATCATACATGCAATTGAAGCGACGTCGATTATTGCTAGAAGAAATACTCGAATACATAGCAGAAGCATCTGAGTGTGACAGACAACCAGAAAGATGAATACGTTGAGATTCTTCTTGTAGGATCATCAAATATGCCTGGTTGACTGAAGGGAGGGGTTGTATCAAGAGAATCTGACTCTGTATCGCCGTATATGTTTCATTCAGTCCCATAAGAAATTGAAAAAGATTATGCTGAGCCAAATATTGAGAATTTTGTTGAGTTGCTTCCTATTGACAATCCAAAAACAGAACTAGTGCATTGTTCTCATCCCAAAGGAAAAAACGTCTGGCTCTAATACCATGTTAAAATGAGCTTTAAGAAATACCTCAATTTTCATATATGAATAAACAATACAAAAGTATGATTATATACAAGTAGTAAACTGTTAACAATTAACCTTGATTATCAGGCTAACAACTAGCTAACTACTATAATAAACTAACTATGAATAAACAATTAAATATTCTCAACATTTATGTCTTAATTCTGTTGGATATTTATTTTGTTAAATTTTATTAATTTATTATACATATTTTGATGAATTGTTTGAGTTAGATGCTATTTGTCGAACTTCTTTTATTTCTGCTTTCACGAGGAACAATTTTTATGTAGAAGCATTTCAGTTCAGGAGACTTGATAGGTTATTTTAGGGGAAAGAAAAGTGAAAGGATTAAATTATAAAAAATTTAAAAATAGACCAAATTGATATAATATATATAAGTTTTAGGAACTAAAATGGTTATTATATCAGATTACATCATCAACTCTATTAAAAAGTAACGAGAATTTACCTGGTAAGCAGCTTGATATCACTTAAGTAAGCCTCAAGTTCGAGTCTTTGTGTATGCAAAAAATTCCTGCCGGGAAACTCATTGACCAAAGTCAGGTTTGCGACACGGGACGATCTAGATTCATTAATGCAAAGCCCTGGAAACTAGGAGGGCAGCCACAAAAATTAACAAGAATTTAACTAACAATGGCTAAAATAGAAAGAAAGAAAAAGTAACATTGACGATGAATTTACCAAAAGAATAATTGAATGATCAAAGTATAAATATGATGATAACAGGCTGACTAAATGAGTAGTATATCCATAAATCAAATGAATTTTCATTGTTAATACTTAATGGACCAACTCAACTGGGTTCATATATTGGGGCATACATAAGAAAAATAAATTCTCTTAAACCCTATATTACATTTGTTTGTTTATAGTTATACAATATTTAACGGGTAATTTGAATTACTAAAAAAAAAAGAAAAAGGAAGAAGCTAAAACTATTATTTTCATAAGAGCAGAGAGCACCTTAAAGGCTGGCTGGCTTCCACCAAAAACTAAAGGTAGGCATGAAAGTTAAAGGTAATCTATAGACAACATGACAGCAATCATCATCCATGGCTTATTTGAGAATACGGTTAATTAACACGAACCAAACAAACTTAGTGATCGAAAATTGTTATCATTCCTTATAATTTCGGTTTCGAACACCATGTACGTTAGGGTATAAGCGTTCAATGTCAAATGATTAAGAGTATTTGAATATATACTACATTGTACTCACTCTAAATTAATAAAAAAAATACTGTTAATTAGTAAAAAAATCCATTTTTATACATTAACTTATATGTAATACTAGCAAACTTTATGGAGGCATTTCAAGGTGAAACTTTTAAAAACTTAACGATGCCAATAATCTAACAAATGATCAAAGTGGCAAAAGGGAATGTTATTCACTACAGAGATTTTGGGTTCGAACAACTGTGTTTGTAAGGTGTATATGCGTTGTCAATTAGTTAAGAAAATTCGGAATAGATATTATCTTCTAATCACCTTAAACTATTTAAAAAAAATTACAATCCCAAAAACCCTTTTTTTACAAATATTACAAAATTATCAGTGAAGAAAGAGCAATAGAACATCATGAGTATCACCATCTCCAAATACAATAGAATAAGTTGGACCAAAAACAATATTACTGTATTTGTCTTAATGATGTATGTAGATCTAGCATGCTGCCTCCCCCCATTATATCTCACCATGGACATGCCTCTGCCATTGACATGCTTTGTTTCTTCCATTTTGTCATCCCCCTTTTCTCATGTTTTGTTGTCTGCACAGTCCATTACATCTCCCAATTTCACAACTTCCCTAGATTGAATCTATCATGGTTCTTATCAACAAGATTAGCAATGTAAACGTAGCATAAATCAGGGCAGGAAATTTCCAAGAGAAAATTCAAGGAATAAAAAGCCATGGGGACCATGACAAAGGGATCTGTGGGTATAACACGTGGTCAAGATCTGATATGAAAAAGAAGCATGGGATTGGGAAACATTTGTAAAAGAGAAAGTGGACCAATGCATTCTTAACTCAGCCTCTTTTTATGGCCTCATAGGTAGCTTTCATGGATCCAATAATACAAGGGCAAAGCATATGAAGATACAATTCTAGTTTGTGTCACTTAGCATGGGAGAGCAAAAAGAGAAGGAAATCCGGGCAAAAGTTGAGAACACACATGACAGATTGATGGATTTGGACCATATTGATTCAAAACAAACTTCATAACATGATGAACACGGTGTGAACACTTATATATATTATTTGATTATTCCAGTTTCTATGCAACTTTACTTAAATTTTGCTGTTGCATTCACTTATCATGTCCCTACATAATTATACATGTAGGAAATAGTATTCTTTTCTTTTTCTTTTTCCCTTTCTGCATCACTGTTTTTTTCTCTTTGTCTAAAGAAAAAACGTAAAGCTAACGCCTTCTCTATGCTTTTTATTATCATTCAATTTAACTACAAGTGTTAAGCTACTCTTCCTGCAATACTTGAATGTCTAAGCCTTTAGCTTTCTTTCTTTCTTTCTTTTCTCATATTCCCTATGTTTGATCCTTTGCTTCCTAGATCAGCTTCGACATATGCCTATTAAAGCAAGCATTTTGATCTTTATACTCTTTTTCGATTTTTGTGTTTTCTGTATTGTCCCTGAAGTAATCTCTGCTAAGCTAGTCTTCGAACTTCGGAGCTTCATTTTGGTTACATGATGAAGAGAAGCCATGAAAGAGAGAGGCAAAGCTGTGGAAGTATACAACAACGATATTGATTTCTTCCAAGACTACACTTCCTCGGATGTTGTTCCATGTAGGAAACATCCACAATCCTCTGCGGCCGGTGTATGCGCGTATTGTCTCAAGGACCGTTTGATCAACTTGGTTTGCTCAGACTGTGGCGAGCAGCGTCTCTCGTCTTGTTCTTGCTCCGAAATCGTCACCAACCCTCGTAATTCATGCACCGGTGGTGAAGTAGGCAGTGCTGTTCGGGTGCCGTTCTTGATAGAGAATGAAAACAAGGATCAAGCTGTTCAAAACCCCGAGGCTAAAAGTAGTAGTAGTGGGAATAATAATACTAAGTCGGACGATGTTTATTTGATCAAGAGAAGCAATAGCAGTTGTGTTGAGATCAAGAAGAAGAATGGTTTCTGGAGAATCGGGAGGTTTTTCAAGAAGAAAAGGGACAAAGAGACTAACTGTGGGAAGAGTGGGTGTGGAGTTGATGAGAAAAGTGATTTGTGGGTGGTTGATTACATGGGAGTGTCAAGGTCAAGGTCTTTTTGCAGTTTCAAAGGTGGTGGATTCTTTGGATCAGAAGATGGAAGTGACTTGATGAACTTTTCGGGTGCTAGGAGCTCCATTTCAGCCGCTCGGAGTTCCGGTGTTAATGGCGGTCTGGTTTATGATCCTGAGAGGAAAAGTGGGTTCAGTGAAGCAGAACATAGGAGAAGTGGTTTTGATAGTGAAAAAAGGGACAGTACTTTCATAGAGTCTGATATTGCAGACATTAGAGCCGTTAGAAAAAGTGGCGCCGGCATCGGCATCGGTGGTGGTTTAATGGATGTTGATGGTGGTTTTAGTGGAGCAAACAGGAGGGTGTTTTCTTTGAAAGAGAGTTATTTCAATGGTGGAGATGATTCAGGCTTCATTGACTTAAAATTTGATTTTCAAGCAGAGTCTAAAGGGGATATTCCTCCTAGTATGAAGAAGGGTGTTTTATCTGGTTTTGGAAGCATGAGAGAAGCTGGTGAATTTAAGCCATATAAATCCAGCGGTTCCATTGAGAATGCACTACCAATACCTGGAAATGGAGCCTTAAGCAATGGGAGTTCATATCAGATGACAATGGATGAAAGAGGAATCAAAAAGAACAAAAGAATTTACAAAGGATGGAAGTGGAATTTCAAAGCTCCATCAAAATTGGAACAATCCAGGGAAGAAAAATGAAACATTGAATCCCCTCACAGTGTTTGGACTCAAAATAGGTCATCATCAATCTTTCAAATTTCACTCCATGTTTTTCTTTGTTCATTTACATATGTAATTTTCTTCACATTCCCATTTCACAACCTTTTGTTTAAGCCTTTCAAGTTGATCCAATCATTAAACATGATTTTCAGAAATGGATGATTAAAGAACCAAAAATGTTTTGTATTTATGATGAGATTAATGGAACTGCAACTTACAAATTGGCCATCAAGGCTTAAAGAATAGGTGGGTGGTAGTGGCAGCCGGCAGCCACTTCCTTGTAGGGCTGCTATAGTGGCAGTTCCCTCGTACTAATATTGTAAAGGTCCCCCCATTTTCAATGGTTTCTCACTATCTCTAGTCTCATATAACATTTTCTATACTCATTAGACTACAGAAAAAAGATTTTGGATCGATTGCCGTGTATGCTCATCACACCTGCTTTATCATCCTCCTGAGTTAGGAAGAAAACAGGATGCTTGCTACCATTAGAAAGTAGCACTCCACAAAGCATTCTCTCCTTCCCCGCACCGCCGATGAACCTCTTTAATCCGATCCACAGACTTGCAAATTCCACTGCAGGTCCAATCAAAGGAAGCAACACAGACATTGCCGGCTTGGGCCTTCCACTCGCAATCTGCATTCGGGGTCCATTCATTAGACCAAAACGATATCATAATCTGTATCAGGCAATTTCACTTCTATACCAAGAATTGCTAAAGTATATATGATATTGATCTATGAGAAATATGGAAATGATTGCAAGAAAATATTATTTTAACTGATAATGAATGTCTTCAACAGAAATATGCCCCATTCAAATGAAACTACGAAATTTCATTATAAAATGCTCAAGGGGCCGTAAGTCTTAACCGGGGATTCAACGTATAAAGAATACTCAGGTTTGAAAAAATCACAGAAATATCATGCCTAATATCTTTCAGCTACATAGTTTAGAAGAAAGAAAAAATAACATTGTTCATACACAACAATTTAGTCGCTTCAGCTTTTTGGTGTTCACCAGGCCATAGAATTGATACGAAAATGACTTACCGGCAACTAGTGTATGACATATGAACTAATATTCTTAACGAAGTAACCATAGTTTCGAGTTACAATATACATCGTCTTCTCCTATGCAAATTATTCGAAATTCTAAAAGATTTGGGAGAACTTAAGATATTTACCAGGTGGTGTGCCACAACATAATCTCCGATCATCAATATGCTTGACATCAAGTCCAATAAACCATGATCCCAGTGAAACATCCTCATTAGCATACTTGTGTAAAACATGCCTGACATAATCATGCATGTAATATAATCATAATTAGTACAGCAAACAATGGAAACACTCGAGAGGCAGGCCTCCAGATTCACACACAAGCTTCATTTTAAACACGGATCTTAAATCTTACTGATTAATCGATATATATGAGGCCAAATCTTTTGAAATGGCATACAACTGTCCGGTAGCATGACGAAAATATTTATTTCCCGCCTCACCAAATTTCCAGTGTTCAGGTTCATGGTATCTCACTCCCCTGTTCCATAACATAACAATTAAGAAAACCAGTATACTTTCTCAAGAAAAAACAATATATCGATAAATATGGCTCACTTTTGAGAGAGGACGGGACCAGATTTCATGCACCCTATGTAGACAAGTGGATTCTTTTGGTGTCTAACTAGAGTTTCTCCAAGTGTCGCTGCATAAATTTAATGGGAAACGTGGACTTAAAAAGCAAAGAATTAATAAAATTTTAACAAACACTTGATTACTGTTAAATACAATGAGTAGTATCATAATTCTTATTGATAATATCTAAGCATTGATCTTCAAGCACAAAGGCTTTATGTAACTAATCCTCTATGTAAAGGATAATTATAACTACAACTAATCCTTTTGTTGTCTGATTGTAAACTTTACTTTTTAGTAAAAAAAATCTCAAAACTTACCTATATTTACATGGACATCATCATCAACTTTGACATATAAATCTGCATCCCATAAAGCGACAGCAGTTGCAAAGTATATCTTAGTTTTTGCAGACAACTCAAGATACCCTTCAACATGGTCCTGATGACATGTAAAACACGTTACCCGTTTTACATATTTAATCTTTTCATACTGTAAGTTTTCATCTAGAGTGTTCTTAAAGAACATAATTAGAACAGACTAGCCCATATACAAGAGATTAAGTGACTAAAACAGCCTAACAGTCTCAAGAAGTCTCCATGCTTCTTATTCTCAGCTTCAATTGCTCGGTCCAAAATACCACCCGTCGTGGCACTGGAAAATATTAAAAAAAAGACTACTATGTAGAAGCATAAAATATGTTCTTAAATTTGTAATTTGGGATTGTTATTGTTGTCATTTCCACCCTTGAATGGTCATTGTCAGGCATCAGATATACTATTTCTGAAACAAACTTAAAAATTTTCGAATCAAGAATCTATACTAGTAAATTTAAATGCTTATAGCAGAATTCATTAGGACACTGTGGAAGTGAAATACGACTATTATATGGTTTCCATACATTTAAGGAGAAGTGCATGTCAAAGTTCAGCAACCAAAAAGTAAAAGAAAGTGAATTAAACCCTCACCTATGACCAATAACAAAGCGAATGATAATGCCGTTTTCATCCTCCAATTTCTTCCGCTTTTCACCTATTTTCCAGTGATTTTTATTTTTAGGAAGGAAAACCGCATCAGATTTAACTCGGCAATTCCAATGGCATAATTTGGGAAAGGAACTAATGTGTGTTAAGAGAATAAAGAAAAGGAAGGGTTTAAAAAAGATCAATCCAACCTTGTGGCATCCACGTAGCACGAACCGAGTCTCTTCTTTTCCAGCTGCTAAAAGCAGTATTAATTCCTATAGCCATCAGGTGCTTTCTTTTCCTAGATTATTTGGCTTTATTCGCATCTGGGGATAACGGTGAGCCACCAAGTAAGGACTCTTGTGCTGCCCTTGCAGCAACTAATTCCATCTCTAAGTTCGAAATAGTCTTATCCAATGTCCTATATCAGAATCGACCCGATAAGTTCGTTGATTGATCAGCCACTTTAAAATCAGATCAACCATAGTTATGGAAAAGCAATACTCACTGTATAGCATGGTGAGTCTTAAAAACCTCCCAAATGATATCTCTGGATACATGCTTTTCTTCTTTCTGAAACAAACAAAGGAAGCCAATCAACCTAAAAACCACAAAACTTCGGATGCCTAATAAAAAGGTTTAGTACAATGTGGGTACGATACTCACAGCTTTTAGATTACAACCCTCTGACATTAGTTTTAGTTTTTCAGTTTCCATTGCAGCTGCCCTCATGATACCTTTAGATTGAGGAACAATCTCCACCCTGTTACTGATTTTACACATTAACAAGCCATCATTTAAGCCTCAATAAAATCAACAAGCATACCACCATTATAAACAAATGAATCCAAAATTTTAACTATAACACAAAAATATTGAACCGTAAAACAAAATTCATAGATGTGCCAAAAGAGGGTCAAAATTTTCAATGAAGTCAAAGGTAATTGGAATTTTTTAGTTCTTCATAGCAATGATCTTCAAAGATGTAGCTTCTATGAGGGGAACAAAGATATTAAAAGCCAAAAAATTAGCTAGAAGCATAAAAACACTTATAGATGTTTATATGCCTCCACAATTTCATTCAAGAGTCCAAATTACAAATATCATTAAACCTGTATTACAGTTATCTATAGCATGTATCAGGGTTCTTCTTGCCAGGGAAATGTTTCAAAATGGCATGAAATGTAATTATGGAAGCAGATTTAATTGATCGTTGAATTATAAGACAACCACCCTTTTTTCTTCTTCCAATTTTTATATAAAAATAGCAACCCTAAAAGGCTGGACCATAGCATTGACTTCCCAATTGAAACTCCTTCAAAGACAAGAACATGTTCAAATCTCAAGCTTTAATACAACTGCAAACAACAAAAATCAAAATAACCCATATTTAGAAAATAAGCAAAGTTTAATATCAAAACAGGTTGACATAGTTTCACCATTGAAATGAAGCAAAATTTAGCTAAGCAAAGATCTTAAAGCAAAGTTCAAAACAATAAAAAAAAAATTGGAATTGGAGAAATGAAAAGCCAAAAGCTTTAAACTTTGAGAATCCAATGAAACTGAAAACACCAAACAAGAAGGATATTTAAAAAATGGGTACCTGTTGGTGAAGAGCATTCCAGCACAGAAGCAGCCCAAGCAAAGAAGAAAAATCCATTTCTTTGATACAAAACTTCCAGAAGACTGCTCTCCTTTGCTTTTAAAAGACATAGTTTTCGAAACCTTCAATCTAAATTCCCTCCTATTTATCAACCACTAGCTATCAAAAGAGAGAAAACCCCATATGTAAAAGTGGAAGCCTGAGGCAAATCAAAGTGACCCAGTTGCAGAAAACGACTCCCCCTGAGATCCTAATTTGAGAAGAAGAAGAAGAAGAAGAAGAAGAATTAGAAACAGAGTGCTCAGTTTTTGGGCTTTGATATTTTGTTGCTTGGGTACTTTTGTTGATGGATTTGCTTGGGTTCTTCTTCTATCTATATATTCTCTCTCAAATTCTCAATTGTGCAGTGCAGGCACGGGACGTTGAATGAATACAAGAAAGGCACGATCTTTCTTCTTACACTGAATTTACCAAATTATCCTCTTGGTTTTGTTGAAGGTGGCTTAATTAATTGAGAAAATAACCTCAGTAACAAAAAATGCCTTATAATATACTATTTTAACCAATTTTTTTTGGATTTGCCAAAATGACCAACTAAATCGCAATGCGATTGATAATTCGTAATGCGATCTCCGGTATCGCAAATCAATTTCCAGATTCGCAACGCGATTCTGACTATCGCATTGCGATTTCCCTAAATCGCAATGCGAATACGTAAATCGCAACGCGATTACGTAAATCGCAATACGTAATCGCATTACGATTTACATAGCGCCATTCGTATTAACGCGTATTTTTTTTTCAAATTCCAAACACGAATATATTAATATATCGGAAACTGAACCGTCCACAGTATATCTCGTAATCGCAACTCATAACCTAAAACCTAAAATCACAACTCAGTCTCATCTCCATCTCTCACTCTCTGCGGCGAAATCCGTCCCCATCTCCGAAGATTTCCATCCCCATCTCCGGCGAAATCCCTCACAACCATTCACGGTCAGAAATCCCTCACAATCATTCAGAAATGGAAAATCAACCTCCGAGGGTTAGTTTTTTTAATTATTTTTATTTTGAAATTTTTGCATTATTTTAGGTTTTTCATATTGAAATTAATGATAAGTTTACTGGTAATTTCAATAATAGATTAATCATTTCACTTAGATTTCTTATTATATTCATTCGATTGCTGCCAAT